CATGGAAACAGGCCAATGTCGAAGAAATGACCAATTACATCGATACTTACCTGTGCGACGAAACATTCCTGCTGGGGCAGCTACGGTGCTACTCGCAGTACTTCGGAGATCCCCGGATCGAGCTTCAACAGATCGAAGCCGCAGCTCCTGGGGTCTTGATTGCCAACGCAACCCTGAGTATTACTGTGACGAAGCTCGCACTACGGCATGCTTTTCCACATCTTCTGGTGTATAAAGGAACTTCCGCAAGCAAAATAGCCTCGCTGAGGGATCGACTCATAGGTCGTCGGCTCGACTGCAGTGTTTCGATGAATTTCATGTTTGATGGAGAGACAGGCCGTGTGGCTACAATAGAGACATATATTGATCTCATGGCGGCATTGTTCCGGGTGCTGGGAAGTCTGGAGAACGTATCTCAAGTGCTAGATCACGCTCTTGTAGGGTAAAAATCATCTTTGGGAGCCTCCATCAGTAGGTGGGGCCCGTGGGTTTAAATCCAATTCATTCTGGACTCATCTAAGTATTTGGTTCGTACTATTATTTCGTCCAGGGAGACGCACGCTGCTAGGGCAAGTTAAACATGAGTGCCTGCCTTTAGAAATCTAATAAACCCTTATAAGTGTTAAAACTCTCGCGCAGATTGCGAAGCAGACGCAGTACTTATATATTCCATTATTGAAACTTTGATGACTCCCTTCCCCCAATGGTCAGAGCTTGTTTCGGCGAAGTACGATGTGCGTTTTTTTTTTTTAAATGAAAATGTGGTGGTTGAAGTGCCTTTCCACCTTCAAGCAGCTGTATCCTTAACAATACTGTATCTATTGCATCGTTGGGATATAATTGAATGAACTTTTCAAGAACTTTAACCTTTCAGACGCTGACTATTACTTTTAATACCAGAGAAATTATATTTTGATGCGGCGTTTAAAATCTTCGCATGGATGATAGAGCTGGAGCGATAGAGCCCGAAACCTAACAATCTTCTACCGGTAAACCGGTTATAACAATCACAAAGAGATTACGCACTTCCCAGTTTACGAGCGGCACCACGTAAACGCGTCTCCGGCAATCATAACACACAACGCGTGATCTGACCGCACTTTTACTGCTGACGGTAGGTACGAAGCCTACATGACAAAGCATGGTGTACACAACCACAACTGTAGATATTTCAGATTCAGCTCGATGGAGTATCAATCGTCTCTGCTGCATTACAGTTAAGTGCGCGCATAAAGTTACATAAAACCTCATCGTCCAGACGCAAAATGGAATGACTGGTGACCGAATGACGAGTGCTTCTCCAAGACGATTACGAACGCTAGTCGAGCAATCTTCTTGTCGCCAGGTTTCAACCAGACTCC